AACCAAATAATCATAAACCAAATAATCATAAACCAAATAATCATAAACCAGATAATCATCCCTTTGGGAAGGGATGATTAAAGCCATTCTTAGGATAGCTGTGGCTTCAAACATTCCCCCTGCTCCACGTGCACTGGATAACTCTGGATTTCACCAAGCCCTGCCCTGATCCACCACCTTATCCCCCTGGAAATGCCATCCTGAGCTCACTTACTTCTGGGTTCCCGAGGTCCATCCACTGTTATCTTGATGGCTCTGTGGTATGTGGCTACCTGGGGGGGGTTGGTGAACACCGTGATTGTCAAGGTGAAGCTTTTCCCTGCAACAGGAAAAAGAAACAAAAATAAACAACAACAAAAAAAGAGATGTTCCTGAGAAAAGAGAAACTCATTTCTGGCAACACTCACTCAAACACCCTGAATGGCACCGAAACATTTCAGCTGAACATAAAGCTGTGCCCAGAGAGTGGGGTGTATAATCCTGGTGCTGGATTCGTTCCCCTCCGTGGCAGCTGCTCAAAGCTTTCAGAGGAAAGGAATTAATTTGTATTTAAATGATCTACGCTCTGTTTGTATATATAAAAAAAGGAGGTTACCCCTAACAGTTGGAGTTTATCTGATATGCATGACTGCTGGGATGTTATCTGTGCTTTCTGAAGGGTGGTAGTTCAGGGAGGCTCAGAAATCGTGGCTGACTCTTCCAGAACTGCCACGGGAATCTGGAGCAGCAGCACTTGTGAAAATTAAAGAGAACTGGGTGCTCAGATCGTAAAATCCCAACGCTTTGTGGTCGAGGCCACCAGGAGATCAACTCCATATTGTGACCCAGAACCCTTTAAAAATCATCTGCTGCTGCCACGCCAAGAAGCAGGGGAATGGAAAAAAATAATAATAAAAAAATCCCTGCAGCTCGTCCGCAGAGAATTAAAACAATTTGTGAGGACACAGCAGAGCACAATGCTTAGTTTCTCTATCATTCAGCAAGAAAACCATGAAGGCCTCTTCCAAACTGTTACATGCATGGCATAGCTCTGAGTTGGGGAAAGTGCTGCTGCCCCTGGATTTACTTCTGGCTTTTTTTTAAATATCAAAAGCAACGTCCAAAGCGTCTTTGATCAGCCCTGATCTGTGCATTCGTGACAGCCTTGGCATGGGCAGCAGTGCAAACACTGCCTGTCAGCAGGCTCAGCACAGTTCTCTCAGCATCACAGAGGACTCAGAGGCTGCCAGAAATCATTGGTATCAGCGGGAGACATCAGGGGACATCACCCCAAGTTGGACAACCATGAACTGCTGTAAGAAAACTGAGGTTGCACATGGAGATCTGCCTCCTTCATTTTACCACTTGGCTCCAGCCCTCCTGAGTGCTGAGTTAGTTCCTTTCCAAACCTTCCTATTTTTATTTATTTATTTATTTATTTAGTTAGTTAGTTAGTTAGTTTTGCTCCATTTAGCTCCATAAATAAGGATAAATTTAAATATTATCCCCCCTCCCCATGTGCATTCCCTTGCAATTCAATCCTTCCCCTGATGCAGCTCCTGCCCTGGTGCTGATGGGCTGCAAGGGCAGCACTCACACACAGGGCTGCTGGGAACTGTCCTCAGCACATCCCTGGGAATTTGGGATGCATTCCCCACAGCCCAGGGGTGAGGAGCCGTGGGGAGGTGAAGTGTCTTGGCTGGGATCTCGCAGGAAGCCCGTGGCCAGTGATGGGAATCCCTAAATCCCACTGGAATCCTGAATCACAGCCCCAGAAGCTGGAACACAAATCCCAGTGTCTTCCCACCTCCATATCCTTGCTAGAAAGCAGTTCTGGGGATGGAAATCATCGCTGCAGAAGCCAAAATGATTCCAGATCCCTGAATCCCACCCACTCTTGGGTCCTACATCCCCCCTGAGCGAGGATGGCTCTTGACATTCTTTAAATACCAATTACAGCTTTACAGCTTGATTAATCTCACCCTGTCAGCACAGCAGATCTCTCTATGAGGCATCAGCAACGAGGTTTGATAAACTTCCCCCCAGAAAACTTTACCACCCATCCCATTAGACTTAACAAATGTCAGAGTCCTTCTTTCCAAAATCTAATTTCTCTCTATCCTTATATACAACACTCAGATCACTAAGACTGAAAGAACCTTGAAAATACACTTTATTCTCTTTACTAATCTGCAGCAATTCCATCTTGCTTCCAGTTTGGTTGTTTGGTTTTTGTTTTTTTTTTTTTTCTGACAACTCTGCTAGAACAGGTAGCGAATTTATTTCTTTAGGAGGCTCTCGAGATGTTTCTATATACGAAATAAATGCAGGAAAAAACCCAAACAACAACAGTGAAATGTGGTAAAACATGGCCACACTACTAGTCTCCAGAATAAAGAAGAGGGAGGTGAAGTAACTTCCAAGATTTTCTGCAGAACAGACAACCCCTGAGCCCGTGTGAGGCTGTGACACGGGCTGGCAAGAGCAGGAAGACACTTAACTTACTTCTTGTTGACAGAAGACTATTCATTAACCACATACTGGTTAACCACAGGCCTATATAACCATAAACCTCCGTGTCACTCACTGCTCTTACCAATAATTCTGGCTGGGTGGTTTTTTTTTTTTCCTCTGGTTGTTCTGTTTCATCCACATTCGCCTTTATTAAGTGGTTTTATCACTTCTGCATTATTCAGCATTTATGGGTCTGGTTGACAAAGGCACATTTAGATTGGAGGTATTGTCAGGGAAATGGGTGTTTTATGGCTGTACCTGTTTTGGGATGACAGCAGCACCATAAAACTCTCCTCCTTGCTTTTATGTGTTACGATACAACCATAAAACAGATTTTATTTTCAAATACGCTTGCATAATCCACTTACACATGTGTTTGCACCTACAAAACTGAGCCAGACAGCCCAAGTGAGGGACTGACCTCTCTGGTGGCTGTAAAGAGGCACCAAACACCCCAAAAAAGTCATTCTGAAACTCTGGCCTTGTTTGGATGCCCCCGACAGCCACGATGAGGATTTTGGTGATGTCCCGGCAGTCGCAGCCAACCAGCACGAGCCAACAGATTCCCTGGGTTAAACATTCCCATAAATCCGTGGAAAACCACTCACAAATGAGCTCAGGTGTGTGATCCATGCCCCAGGAAGCTGTGGTTGTTGCTGTGCCATCCTGGGAGTCTTTGGAAGGGCGAAAGGGCTGATGGGTGACATCGAGCTGTGCCTTGCTGGGGGGGAAAGAGTCACTTCAGCCACTGTTCCCCTCTCTGTGCCATCCTAATACTGGGCACTTGGCACCTCAAGAGCACAAGGATTAAGTTGTCCAGAGGTTGGGAGCCGGGCTCTGCCTCTGGAAACCCTTCCCACAGACATCGAGGCCTCGTAGGTGTGAGGGCAGAGCACAGGACTCACTTCTTCCACCTGCTCTTCCCTCCCAGCCAGAGCAGGAAAAAACTGCTTGGTGAGGTTTGTTTTTTGCAAGAGCTTTAAGGTCAGAACCCTTCCCCAGAAAAAGTAATGGAAATGGAAACAGGAGCATTCCTGGCCGGGATACAACAGTGACTTTGGAAATGTTGTCTGGACGCTGTTGGTGGGTTTGTCAGAAGAGCCCTCAAGAATCATTGCTGATTTGACAGCTGGAGTCACAGAATTCCAGAATCACTGAGCTTGGAAAAGACCTCCCAGAGCTTTGAATCCAAGCTGTGCCAAATCCCCACCTTGTCCTCCAGGGGGACAAGGTGGGCATCAGGCACAGAGGAAACTCCACGGCCTGGGAGGGCTTTTCCAACTCAAATAATTCTGGGATTCTCTGAAATCATCTGCCAGAACCTGCTCAGCAATACTGTTCCTGGACCACCAGGAGGTGAAGATCAACCTGATGTGGGAAAAGAGCAGCCTGGGCCGGTGGAAGGTGTCCCTGCCCGTGGCAGGGGGTGGGACTGGATGATCTTTAAGGTCCTTTCCAATCCAAACTATTCCATGATTCCACAAGCAACCTCTAAGAAGGAAGCATCTGAAGGTGCCTGAAATATGGGAACTTGGAGCGTGCATCCCACCCGCATCCCACCTGCAACCCAGAGGCTGGAAGCAGAAGGAGCAGGGAGTTCCCACCTGCCACGATTCCAGTGGTCCTCCAGAGCAGCTCAGAAGGGCTGCTGATCAACCTGATGTGGGAAATGAGCAGATCAACCTGATCTGGGAGGTGAAGATCAACCTGATGTGGGAAATGAGCAGATCAACCTGATCTGGGAGGTGAAGATCAACCTGATGTGGGAAATGAGCAGATCAACCTGATCTGGGAGGTGAAGATCAACCTGATGTGGGAAATGAGCAACCTGGGCCAGTGGAAGGTGTCCCTGCCCGTGGCAGGGGGTGGCACTGGATGATCTTGAAGGTCCTTTCTAATCCAAACCATTCCATGATTCCACAAGCAGCCTCCAAGAAGGAAGCATCTGAAGGTGCCTGAAATACAGGAATTTGGAGCCTGCATCCCACCTGCATTCCAGAGGCTGGAAGCAGAAGGAGCAGGGAGTTCCCACCTGCCACGATTCCAGTGGTCCTCCAGAGCAGCTCAGAAGGGCTGCTGATCAACCTGATGTGGGAAATGAGCAGATCAACCTGATCTGGGAGGTGAAGATCAACCTGATGTGGGAAATGAGCAACCTGGGCCAGTGGAAGGTGTCCCTGCCCGTGGCAGGGGGTGGGACTGGATGGTCTTGAAGGTCCTTTCTAATCCAAATCATTCCATGATTCCACAATCAACCTCCAAGAAGGAAGCATCTGATGGTGCTGTGCCTGAAATATGGGAACTTGGAGCCTGCATCCCACCTGCATCCCACCTTCATCCCAGAGGCTGGAAGCAGAAGGAGCAGGGAGTTCCCACCTGCCACGATTCCAGTGGTCCTCCAGAGCAGCTCGGAAGGGCTGCTGATCAACCTGATCTGGGAAATGAGAAGATCAACCTGATCTGGGAGGTGAAGATCAACCTGATGTAGGAAATGAGCAAGCTGGGCTGGTGGAAGGTGTCCCTGCCTGTGGCAGGGGGTGGCACTGGATGATCTTGAAGGTCCTTTCTAATCCAAACCATTCCATGATTCCACGATCAGCCTCCAAAAATGAAGCATCTGAAGATGCTGTGCCTGAAATACAGGAACCTGGAGCCTGAATCCCACCTGCATCCCACCTGCATCCCAGAGGCTGGAAGCAGGAGCAGAGAGTTCCCACCTGCCACAATTCCAGTGGTCCTCCAGAGCAGCTCTAGAGGGAGCAATAGGCTCGTGAGCTGAGGCCCCTGGGAATGTTTGAGAGGAACCAAGGGGGAAAAAAAATGACT